GATGAGAAATGAGACAAATCGAACGATTCCGATCAAGTATACACGCGACAATTCGTACGTGCGAGCGGGATTGCTCGCAAAAATAACAGACGACGTTTGTATTCCGTTCGATCGTAACAAACGCGCGAAATTTTGTTATATTTTTGTTATTATATTGTATTATTTTTCTTTACGTGTGAATTATAATTATATACAACTGAGGCACAAATCGAGGAAACGTTTCTTCGAAGATTATTATTTTCTTAACTCTCGTAGTTCATTTGGATTTGCAGCCGAATGCTCTAACAACACGCTTGAGGTGAGCGCGGTTTGTGGTTAGAAGGATCACTTGCTCTCGATATACGTTTTGTATCTTCGGCGATAAACGATAATAGCGACAATCTACGCGCCGTCCAACGGATGCTCATCATCGCGCGTCGAAATTGCAGTTCTCGCTCGCAAACGTGATCGGTTCTGTGCGCAAAAAGCGCTTAAGTGTCCCGCTTCGCGGCCCCTTTCTCGGATCGGCGACATTTCCATTGTGCGAGTCTCAATAGACAGGCACTTGTATCATGTAAGCATAATAGACAAACGCGGTCGGACGTGTCCGCCATATGCAATGCTGTTACACACAGGACGTGGCCGATTCTGACAACACAAATCGCGTTTTGTTTTTTCGTAACGCGTCATTTCTCTTCGAGTTGTTTCCTGGAAGATCGAAAAGTCAGATCGCGATTTCTTGCGAGCACGCGATTCGAGACTGCTCTCCGCGCATCTTGTTGATTCTTCGAGCATTCTCGTCGTAGAGTCGGACACAAGGAACAAGCTTAAAAAAGGGATCAGGTAAGTCCAATCGGAAATCGCAGAAACGGCGCGCGGTTCGCCGGGAATATTACTGTGTGAGAGAACATTCGTCATTATTGCTATTGACCGTTGGACCCCGGGATCTAACCATTCGGGTTCCACAGGAAGTAGGCCGGTCGGATCAAGGACCAAGGTTGCCCTTTTCCATTTTGAGACGGTCCATTCAGGTGTAATGGTCAGTTAAAGACTATCCAAACAGAAGATACCCCGGTCCCCTCGATGAACTTCCGAGACTTTCTTCTTTCTCATGACCGCGAGTGTCTTTGATTCAAAGTGCTGCCCTAAAAAGATCCTTTGTATTTGCATGTTGATCGAACTAGTTAGTTTGTTAGTTTGCTCCTATATATATTTGTCACAAAAAATACAGTAATTTTTAATTAAAATGGCTCGTCTAGTTCCGGATTTTTAAATTCCGATTTGTCTTCCGCCAATTTGTAATTTGTTGCTTGTGTGCGCGCGATCATTTTCACACGCACGTTTGATTCAGACGTAACGCAAATTTGCAACCACACAACGAGAACAATCGAACAGCCCACCCGCGATTGCCTAAATAGAGGAATCATCTCAAGTATATTTATCCACGTGATCTACGAATAACAAATGCGGAAATCCTTAAATCCTAAATCAACCTGGCGCGAGCCAAAACCGAAGGCGGACTACAAACAAACGGCGGCAGTCGAAGCACGAAGGATTCGTGGTCCGGTGTGTGACGAAAGTCAAATATTGAATCACTAAATAAGACGTGCTTTGTGTCAGATCGAGTTAGGCGACTTGACGGTAGTTCGTCGTCCAACAATTCTTGTTATTACTCTCTTCACAATTACTGTGTGTGAACGCATGCGATTTTTCTTTCTTTTCCTTTGTTTCGATCGTAATTTTCAAAATGACAAAGAAACAACGTTGCAGCATATAAAAAGCGATCAAACATACTAAATAAACGTCATTCGAAGCGCAATTCGTTTTATCGTCAAAGAAGTAAAGAAACTATTTTTTTTGCAAGACTCTTAACTCGTTTCTTTATTCGAAAAACGAGGTGCCTTTACAGCCGCAGTAGCGTCTCAACGAGAAGGAGCAACACAAAACGAGAAGAAATCGAAGACAAGACAATGACCGCTGTTCAAACATGTCGAACGTCAAACAGCCGCCGCATCTCCGTGTAGGACGTGACCGCACGTGCATTAACGATCTGCGATAGCAAAAGAAGAAGTTACCGCACCTACAAAGTTTCGTATCCTTTCTAACGTTTAAGGACATCCGACGACGGCAATAATAAATATTTAGAAAGGTGTTACGGGACGATGAAGACGCGCCGAAGCCTTTTATATATTTGTAAGAACATGTCAAAATTAGTGTCAGGAGCAAAACCACAACAATGCGGAAATAAAACAAAATTATATTTTACTAGGCTCGATTTGCAGACGCGCGATCAGACAATTCGCGAGGAGTAGTTTTATCCTCAACATATTATTATGCATATATTATCTTTGTAAAAAAAAAGTTAAATACGTGTACACATTTTTTTTCTGATAAATTCTGATAAACAGCATTTAAATACTATTGATATGAAATAAAATGAAAGGCATTTAACTGCTATTTATCAAAATTAGAAGACAGAAATTTTATTAATTTGCTTCAGGGTTACAATATTTCTTTATATTTCTCTTCGACAATATGTATATATATATATATATATATGTCTCTCATTCAATTCAAGCTGATTGGAGGCCCGGATTCAGTTCGCTTTTTAGTCGATAAATTTGAACGAGACTGGCCCGAAAAAATTCGACGGTTGGTTATAAAATATCAAAGACTTGTAAAGAGTAATAAATAAAGTATATACATACATATTATATTTTCTTTAAAAAAATGATATCTAAATGTAATAGAAAACATATATTCTATATGCAAGTAAAATATATGCAAATGTGTGCATGCGTGTGTGTGTATACACGTGCGCGCAAATGTGTAGAAACGAGATATTATGCTGTGTTAACTTTTTGGATGTTGTCTTCAAAATACAAACATCCTGCGAATGGCTCGTATCGGCCTTATATATTTACTGTTGACAATTTCACGAGCGTTAAATCTTTGAAATTACGCTGGCTGAAAATTAGCGTTAACAACATNATCAGACCATCTTCGATATATATATGAGTATTGCGAGACTAACTCCAAGTGCCTCGGTGGCCTAACAGNGAAGGCGATGGCACGGAAAGCCGGAGATTCCAGGTTCGACTCCTGGCCGAGGAATTTTTTTCGCAATATTTTAAAATTAGTTAGGGGGGGTATCCGGGGTTTTTCAGATGTGAGATGCAAATCCAGCATCCCGTATGATTTAAAAAATTGAGATTTCAATTCAAAAAATATTTGTAAAAATTTACAAGTAGAATTCGTTGCATGTATATATATATATATGTACACGCTTAGTTTCCGCACAAACATCCTGCGAATGGCTCGTATCGGCCTTATATATTTACTGTTGCTAATTTAAGAATATGTTAATAAATAGTTTTATTAAAATGAAAAATTAAATTAAACAGTAAATTAAATTAATATTAAACTGAAGGATATTACATTGATACCAAACTAAATTAATATTGAATTAAATTAATATAATAATTAATTAATATAATACTTATAAAACAATTTAATATTAATTTAAATTAACATCAAACAAATTTGAGACACTAATTAATATTATATTAGATTAATTTTAAATCGAAGAAAAATTAAATCAAACTAATATTAAATAAAAAGTTAATAATATATTGATATATGTTTATATTGTAATAAGAAACTAAATTATTTTATTGTTTATTATTGATGAATGTTTATTATTATGTGTATATATTTAAAAAAAACATTTTTTACATAATCTTTACAGTTAATTTATATATCTTTAATTAAAATTATTAAAATAATAATTATGCCACGTAGAAAAGCAATTTGAACAGTTGAAGAAGAAGAAGAATTCAAAACAAATATTATAATATGCGTATATATATATTATTATATATATTGCACAACAGCAATATCGCACAGAGCAGTATTACACCCCTCATATTTCTTCCGTTACAACTTGAAAAAAATAAAAATCGAATATTAATTACACACGCTAAAAGAGCGCGTATCGACAATTTATATTAGTTAAAAATACAGACGACGAGCGCGAGCTTAATTCTATCTATGTGTAACAATTAGTGTACTCCCGCCTGGAAAAAAACCGGTTTCGAACCTGGAAAAAAACGGTTTTTTACCGGTTTTTTTCCAGGATTTCAAGGAAAAGAACAAATAAGAAAAAAAACGATTTTTTTCTTTAAATTCTATTTGAATCGTTATATAGATATATTTAAAGTAATAAAAGTCATATTTAAAAAATGTATAGTTGTTTATAAAGGTTAGTTCAAGTTGCCAGTTGTTAGAGCAAATAAAATAGACTTAGGGGCTCCCGTGCCCGTTAGCAAACCCTGATGAGGGTAGGGAGGATGCGGTTTTCCTTGGCTCCGATATATGGATCCGGGGAGCCGCTCCTCCGTATATCTGGTGCGTTAAGCACCAGATATAGTAGGTAGTGCCTGGTTCTCCTTTAAGAAACCAGGCAATATTAAGAGAAAGCCCGGTCCCCGTTGTTTTGAGCACTAGTTGGCCTCAACTCAGCGGTGGCTGGGCGCATTGTGGGGGGAGGACCTCCCTCTTGCCTCGCGTTTTGAGACAATTGGGAGATCAATACTACTATCATGGGGTCAAGTCCGCTTCGGCGTTTGATTTGAGGCCGAGAGAGGTTTCCCCCTCATTGCACTCGGCCCGCAGACGGCGGGGGAGGGTCTGTGTCCCCTCTTCCCCAGATCGTGGAGGAGCAAAGCTCCTCCATTTAAGGATTGGGGGGCAAAAGTCCCCATGCCTATTGGGCTGCCTCTGGGTTGTTCTAAACTGAGGTACCGGGGCAGCCCTAAAAAGGCGGAAGGTGGACACCGCAGGGGTTTTAGTGGGTATTCCCCACTGGGGTGCGCTTTGGTGGGGTGAGTCCCACACTATCCTGGCCCACATCAGTCTGGGTCAGGGTGTGCGTAAACGCATTTCCCCTGCGTAAATAAAAAATAAAAAAATAAAAAAAAAATAAAAAAATAAAATAGACTTGTGGCCATTTCAGTCAAAATTTGATATTTATTTTAGACTAGAGATAAAAAAATAAAATATATCAAGATACATTTCAAAATGCCTTAGCAAGCATTTAAACAAATCTTAAACTGTTGAACAAAACAATCTTTTTCTACATTGGAAAGAGAACAACAGAATGCTTTATGATAAAATAAACATAGAAACAAAACAAAAGAAAAAGTATGTATAAATTATTCATAAACAGCTATAGTACGAGATCAGCACATTCTCAATCAATTATTTCAATTATTTCTCATCTTCACAGTTCTCATCTGATGAGGTTTCAAGTTCCTCATCACTTGTCCACAAAGGGTCACTCTCACCCTCACTGAGATCAACTTCATCACTTTCGTCATCACTATCATCAAGTAAAATACATTTGTACTTCGGATACTTTGCTGTGCGTTTTGCACTTAGTTCAGCTTTTTTTTTGTCTCCAGAAGCAGTCCCACAAACTAAGTTCAAGTTATGTTTTACGACAACTAGCTTTTCAACTTTCTTGTTTTTTAAACGATTTCTTTTCTTTGAGTGAACATGGTCATATTCAGACCAAATGCGCTCACAACTTGTAGCAGAAGGCACTAGACTCAACAAACGAACTGCAACTGGATGAAGCGGCTGGTTTGCACAAAAAGCATCCCACCAGATAATTGGATTCGAGGTATTTACTGATTTCCAAATTATTTCATCAGAGTAAAATTTAGCCTTGGTTTTAAAATTTAGCATATTTTCAGTAACCTTCTCTGTATTTAGGTTCAGGTACTTAGCTATGTCACAGATAACTTTTAGAGCAAGACAGAACTGCCTATCAGATAATTTATTCTCCGCAAACTGAGGGTCTATAAAATAACATGCCAAATGAATATCTTCAATACAAAATTTCTTAATTCTATATTTTACAGCCTTTTTAATTTTGAGGTAGTCAGCAATAGGCACAGGTGAGTCTTCTGTCTTAACATTTCCCACCTTACTCTTAATATTCATGCAAATAGCCACCATGAAGGATAGTCTAGCATTATCAGCCTCAATAAAATGTGTGCCTTCAACTATTGGTTGAATATAATCAATCAAAAAAGAGACAACTGCCCAAAAACCAGATTTCTCATTGTCCAACACTGTGTTTCTAATTTCAGCTGGAACTGCCACAACATCAGTCAAAACTGTTTCCTCCAAAGCCACTTTGTTCTTTTGGAGGGATTGTAACAGAAAAAATGCCTCACTAAGCCGTGTTGAGGAGGGTTGAATAAGACTAGTGGCTTTGTTTCCATAATGCAACTTTTGCTTGGATTTAAAAATTGCATATAACTGTCTTTGCTTCCTTATTTTCACAATAGTTTTAGCAGCAGCAATGACTCTTTTAAAAACTTCAATTCTTATTATGTCTTTGAATAATAAATTTAGGCTATGAGAGCCACAACCAATAGTATAAATATGAGGAAATTTCGAACGCACAAACTTCCCTAACTCAGCCCTCATTACAGGGGTATTGTCATTACAAAGAAGCAATACATTGCTGGGCCCAACTTTATTTATCACATTTATATAGTGATTCCCAAACTTTTGATCTTTTTTCTCAAGACCAGGCTCAACTTTAACAGCTTTAAGAAAAAATGGTTTGGGAGTACATACAGTAAAATTCATTGTACCATTAAACCTTATATTAGTATACCCATCTGAACAAATTGTAATAGCTTTAGCTTTTTCAATGTAGTTTTTAGTGTCCTTCATTACATTATCATGCTCGTTGTTAAGAAGGCTTCCACCAAAAGTTTTTGCAGATGGCATTTTGTACGCAGGTTGAAGTGCGTGGAAAGCTGCCTCCATATGTAGGCCTTCAAATGTATTGAAAGGAAGCCCTTTGGATAGTAAGGCTTTTGCAAACAATCCATCCAGCTTTATCTTCTCATCTTTTGTTATTATATCCATGGATTGTACAATAGACCTCTGTTTTTTCAGTGGTGGACCTGGTTGCTGGAGTGTGACGGGAAGTTGAGGTGCTGTAGGATTATCTGGATTGTGGTCGGTTTCATCTAAAGAGCAGAGAGAGAATACAAAATACATTACTGAGTTATTCTATTTGTTATGATTTGCAATGTACAGTTTTTTTTAAATGTAAAATGAAATTCCTACTAAAAAAAGAATTAAATGTAAATACAATATCCACATAGCATCATTAGTAGCACAAACGTTTTCGCAACGGGTTTTCCGAAACTTAGCAACGTTTCGTTAAAAGTCTCTAAAACGTCGTAGTAACGTAGCGGAAACGTCGAAATGTCCGCTTTTATAAGTTGCGATCCGACTTCGTAGAAACATATAAAAAACGATGCCCGATAAGTTGCAAAGTTTTTAATGTTTAATTTTGTATAGACATTGTAAAATACAGTTTTGAAACCATAAAATTAAAACAAGAGAATGGTTAAGCAGGCAAAACCTGTATGGTTTCAAAAATGTATTTTACAATTTATACAAAATTAAACATTAAAAACTTTGCAACTTATCGGGCATCGTTTCTTATACGTTTCTATGAAATCGGACCGCAACTTAAAAAGCGGACATTTTGACGTTCCCGCTACGTTATTACGACGTTTTAGAGACTTTTAACGAAACTTTGCTAAGTTTCGGAAAACCCATTGCGGAAACGTTAGTGCTAACGATGCTATGTGGGTACTGATTTTTCTTACCTTCTTGTTCTTTTTGAAAAAAAACCTTAATCTCTTCCGGACACTTCTGACACTGTTTTGTTATGTGGATTTTCATCCTATTAGCGTGCGGTGATGTATACTTCCCACAGCATTTGCACTTGACATGCTGAACTTTGCCTGCAGCATCGTTTATGGTAAAAAACTGGTTCCAAATTTCACCTTTGGTGGGCGGCATTATGAAGTTCTTTGTTGATCTAAAACAAAACAAAAAATAATAGAGTAAATCACTAAACAACATCATATCATTCATATAAATCTAATTAAACTTTCACTGCTTAAGTTAGGTTTACTTTATCAAATAATTGGAACGACGATCAAAACCGGATAAAATGATGAGTTTTCATTGTTCACTGTTTTTCGTAGAGAAAAATGTTTAAAACTGTGAGAATAAGATTGTTTATTATATATTACTTACCGAGATGTTAGGTTAGATCAACAAAGTTTTGCTAGCCGCTGCACGACGTCAAGCCTTGGCCGTCAGAAATACACTTTGTTTACGGCTCTATTGCGGTAGACGATAAGACGACGCACTGTGAACGCGAGGCTACAACTAACCCGTATGAGAAATATTTCCGCGTAGGATAATATAGCAAATACATATCAGTGAATGCAAGCGCACTGCAACAACTTATCAGTCAGTATTAAAGTAGGGGAGACCGGGGCTAGTTGCCTATAGGGGTAGGTAGACTAATTGTTAATAACATTGCACCTATATGTGCTTTGTCGCGGAAAAATTTTCTGTAGAAACAAGTCACGTCTACTATGCTATTCATTTGTTTTCTACGCCGTGATCGCACGTTACTTCAGAATTATCAGCGTTTATCGAAAAATTAGCTGCGTAAGTAAATATGTTTTCTTGAAGATTTTATGTTCTCATGCTGTATATAGTTACGATAGGATAAATGTTAAAAGAATATCTTAAAGTTTGTTTATTAAACAAACTATTGAAGCAGTAATTTTTTTATATATAATTAATTTAAAGTTAAGATAGAGCATTAAAGACAAAATGATCGTTCGGGGCTGGTTGGCTAATAACGTCTGGGGTTATATGACTAACTAGTCAANCAACTNCAGTGATATCAGTTTTTANTNAATTTTCATTATACTNAATAATGATTAAATNCTAACTTGTTTTATAGAATAATGAGGACATATAAAAGAAAATCAGACAGAGGTTCAACTTCAAAAAAAATTATTGAACAATGGATCCAGTGTATTTCATGCAAGATGTGGACCCATTTAAATTGTGCAAAAAGTAGTCTGCTTTTCTACAAATGTAAAAATTGTGTTTCAGCCTTAAGAAAAACTTAAGTAAAAAATTAAAAACAAGAAGTTTACATATATAGGTATTTATGATTTAATATTCTAAGTTTTTGTTGATATAAAGTTTAAAGTATATTATAACCGATATTATAAAGTTCAAAGTATATTAAAAAAAATTAAAATATTAAAAATTTTTAACTGTATTTTGTTGCAAAAGCAATTTTTATGTTTTGTTTAAATTTAATAAATATGTAATCATTATAATTTGTGTTGAGAAATCATTTAGTTTATTATTAAAGTATGAAAAAAAGATAAATAATATTTTGTAATAAAACAACTTTTTTGCCATTGTATTAAACCACTAAGTTGTTAATAACATTTTCTTTACTTCTTATACTTTAGTCAACCTACCCCATACTGTAAGTCTACCAACCCCGACCGTGGGGCTAGTTGACTAACATGACAAGTGTTCAGAAAATATTAAAATACCTCAGTCGTTGTAACATTAAGTCTACTTTTACTATTTAATCACATAGTCAAATATATGTCTTATAAGATATACTAACCATTATAACGATATCTCGCTCATATAATTTATTAAAAATCAAATACTGAAAAATTGGCCTACCAGCCCCGGTCTCCCTAACGCTAGCGAAGATCTTACATTGTACATGTGTGTTAGTCAATTATTCCATAAAAACGTCGTGATAATGATTTAATATAAAGATATTGAAAAGTAACGAGGAGTCCTCTGGTTCGTAAAAAATCAATTGATTGGTAAGTAACGGGCTTTCGAACCGGTTGCAAGATATTGTGCATTAAATTTTGTAGACGATTTAATCCAAATGTTATCGTCAAGACTGAAGATAGTCTTGACGATAACGTGATAAGAACAACATACATTATTAACTTTTTCGTCAGAACAAAGAAATGTTGCATCTTGGTTATATTCCACTGATGATGACTACATAATAAAGTCGAAACGTTTGGATTAAATCGTCTACAAAATTTAATGCATACTACCTTGCAACCGGTTCGAAAGCTCGTTACTTACCAATCAATTAATATAAAGATTTGTTTAAAATGTATAACAATACAGCCAAAAAACGTTTTTTTCCTGATTTTAGGTTTTTTTCGGAAAGAAACCGGTTTTTTTACCGGTTCTTTTCCGTCGATTAAAAAAACCGGCTTTTTACGTACACTAGTAACAATACAACGGTTTGGTTAAAAAAAAAAAAAAAAAAAACGATACGCTGTAATACAGAACTCGTTTCGATCAAGTTTCGTTCAGCGGAAACAAAATATATTCTATAACACGGATGTGTTGCGGAAATAGCTGCGTTTTAAGCAGCGAAAATAATATGTTGTTACTACTGCAACATTTGAAAAACAACGCGACAGAACGGCGATTAACCGCTTTTATAAAATTTGCGCATACTCACTATTTATTGACGACGAGTGGCTATTCCCGAATGTGTTAATGGAGGACTTCTCGAGCATCTGCTGCAAGATGTACTGTTGGACAGCAAACTAATCTTTCCTCTTTTATGTAACTCCGATCGGTAGGAATTCCGCGAACTGTTGACTATATATATTTTTTTCTTATCTAATCGAGGCCACACGAAATATGTGTCTCTCTGACGCAATTGCTTTATCATCTAGATGTTTTAAGACAGTTTGTCATGTTTTTTTGCCACTAGATCCGGAGTAGGGTTTGTCAAAACGACGGATGATGACTCATCGAACAAAACGAGCGCGAGAAAATTACGCATTTGCAAATATACACACATTGCACGCGTGGGATTTTCACGTCGATATAAACTGTTAATAAAGATTTATTTAATTAATTTTCAATAACTATAATTGCTCTCGCACGAATCTTACGGGATTTATTCTATCGGCGTTTCAACACGTCGAGCTTAATTTTGCTTCAAACTCTTTTGTGTACGTTTCTTTGTGGAAAGAATATTTTTTTTTAAAAGAGATAAAATTATAGAGAGATAAAGTCGTAGAGGCACAGATGTTGGTTGAGAGACAATGAATTTCCGGCGAAATTTCGTTGTTAACATATCACCATATCACGCTAATATCAATTTGATATCTAGATAATATAATTCTAGTGTAAAATCAGTGATCAAGAGGCACGGTAGTGCCTCACGCCAAGTTCACGTGCAACGAAGTGGCGCTCGAACTGCACGAGCACGCCGTGCCTCTTATACGCAAAAATGAGGTTTTTCAGTGGAGGGGAGATTTTTAATCAGTTATTTCTTAATAACGACTGAATCGATTGACTTGTTTTTGGGCTCGTTCGGTTCGCGTTGAAAAAATACACAAAACAGTATTCTTGCGTTTTTTCGATCTGTGGCTTGTAAACAGAGATAATTGAAGATAAACAAAAATGTGCGTGAAATTCACGATGTTTCGGAATCTCTGGAATGCCTCCAGGAATGCGTCCAGGAATGCGTCCATCTGCTAGTGCTTCCATGAGATGGCGGTGAGCGCGAACGATAGAAAAGGAGGAAAACTGTAATATATGATGAGAGAGAGAGAGAGCGAGTAAGCGAGCGACGATCAAACGAGCGAGTGAGTGAGTGAGTTGCTGAGTCAGAGAGAGAGAGAGAGAGAGAGAGTGAGAGAGAGAGAGAGGGAGAGAGAGAGAGAAAGAGCGCAACGAGAGCAATTGCGAACATCATTTGATTGAAAAGAATCAAAAGAAATGACAACCGTAAGTACAAACAAAATATGTACGTACGCATAACCANATATCATATGTATTAGGCTAGTATTACACTTGTCGTGCCACAAAGATAAATATGACTTGATCAAAGTGTTCTCTTCGAAACAACGTTGAACCGCATTCAGCAAGCTTCTCATTAATTAAACACAAAATACCGTATTCTGGGGGGGAGGGATTATCCTAAAATAATATATCAATCTTACAATTGTGTGCAATCGAAATGTGTAAGGTATATATATAATGCACACATACTGGAACTACTAGCAATGTTGATAAGAAACTCGACAAGCATGAAAGCAGACAGATATGGTTGCGAACTGTTTGGTCTTCCAATATCAATGGTTTTCGGCATCTCCGGCACTAAACTTATTAAAGCGGCCTTGAAACAGCGGCCTATCAACTGAAAAATGCCCATTTGAATACATAAAGTGATAAATTTATACAATAAAAAAGAGAATAAACGATAAAGGAACTAATTTGTGGCTCACCTTGACGTAGTCATTCATTTAAAAGAGCGACTTGTCCAGATAGTAAATATAATTGAAGGCGCGTATGGACAAAAGTTAACAAAGATATAGCAATAAAACAGAATGGTGCAGCACAGGCGCGCATAAATGCCCACGTTCTCCTTGTGTGATGGCCATGTACTATCTTTTTAGTATCAACTGCTAATAATCTATTTACACGAACATATATAAGTGATTATTTGTAAATATAGAAGATAAATAAGTAAATTATAATTTCTGTAGTAGAGAATATTCCTACTATTCTGACATAAAGTAAGACTTGAAAACCATAATTGATATTGTATAGGACATTGTATAAGAGTGTCACATTGTATATCATATCATCATATATACTTTGACAATCAAAGCACTGTGCGTTGCGTATCTTTATTTGGTTTTACCAGAAATAAATCAGAACAAACTATTATTGGACAAATTATTATAACGCGAATGAATTGACATACCTAATAAAATCATGCATTATCCTTGCAATAAACATCTGAGCATTTATGATAATCGGGTCCGCAATAGGTCCACTCTGCGTACTCATTCCTTCTATGACTGTTTTACAAACTTCAACTTTCATCCTTTCTTTGTCAAACAAGTCTATGAAAGGCACCAAATCGTGCCTTGAAAATATTTTGACAATGTCTATATACTGTAAGTTTGAAATTATAAAACTAATTATAAAAAGAGAAATTGATAAAAAAAAAGATAAAACACAGAAAAAGAAAACACTTACCATGATAAGCACAGATTCAAATTCTTGCGAGCAACTATTTTCTTATCAATAAAATTCTAGAATAGTGGATAATAGTTTTCAAAAGTTTTGTTCGATCGTAGACAATCTATTATTTGCCAGAAAGTAAATTCAACTACATAGTATTACACTTGTCGTGCCACAAAGATTTCAAGTATATTGATTGGCTATCAAATAGATTCTTTATAAAACTTTATCTGATAGCTAATCAACATATTTCAAATCTTTGTTGTACGACAAATGTAATATTGGCCTTAGGTTATGTTTATCGTTTTCGGGTAAATATACAGAAAAGGTCATCCCCCTCCGATTTCAATGAGCTTGACATATGTTGTCAAAGACACCTTCCTGAGTAACAATCCGTAAATTTTAGCCGTCGCTCGTTGTTAATAAAAAAGTTATGAACAATTGAAGTTTGAAAACTAAGTTTGCCAATTTTTGCTAGTAACTGAAAATTTGAAAGCATTTACAATTTGTAATTATGTATGTATGTATGTATATGTTAGCGTCAAAGCCCGAGAATGTGTCAATCAGACTCAATAGGATAGAGTAGTATTAAAACAAGACTAATTCTTTCATGATATTTTTGTCGGTGTTGTAAACGTGTAGGCAAGGGGCTGCGCCCCCCTGCATCCCTCCTAAAATCTAACCTAACCCTAACCTAAACTTTTCTTTCTGCATTCCCTCTCGCAAAATTTTCAGTTATTTCTATTGATATTGTAGTAACACAGGTTAGGTTAGGTTAGATTTTAGGGGGGTGCAGGGGGGCGCAACCCCTGCCTACACGTTTACAACACCACATAAAAAACATGAAAGAATTAGGATGTGATCCCATGCACTGTTATTTTTTGCGTAACGCGTAACGCGTAATCAGAGATTACGTGTTTAATATAAAACATTTGCTTTGGATATTGACTAGTCAATTTTAAAATTGACGGGACTACGGGCTGTGACGCTACATATACATTTATATATACATATTATATATGTATATTTATGTATGTGTAAATATATATATATTTATATGTAGGTACATCATAATATAGCCTCAGTTTTCAAACTTCAATTGTTCATAACTATTTTATTAACAACGAGCGACGGCTAAAATTTACGGATTGTTACTCAGGAAGGTGTCCTTGANAACATATGTCAAGCTCATTGAAATCGGAGGGGGGTGACCTTTTCTATATATTTACTCGTTTTCGTACTATGTTGTGTTGCTTGCATAGGTATACGAATTGAATTTACTTTCTGGCAAATAATAGATTGTCTACGATCGAACAAAACTTTTGAAAACTATTATCCACTATTCTAGAATTTTATTGATAAGAAAATAGTTGCTCGCAAGAATTTGAATCTGTGCTTATCATGGTAAGTGTTTTCTTTTTCTGTGTTTTATCTTTTTT